CTGTGTTGCTTAGTATATCTTCCCACCCTCCTATAACCACAAACTTCTGTCCCACATTCTAATACTGCATTTTTAAAACTATTCCAACCCTCTTCAACTCCCCACTACTCATCTTTGCACTAGCCCACCTTTCTGCCAATAGTCGCTTGTATCTCACCCGAACTTCCTCCTCCCTTAGTTTATACACTTTCACCTCCCTCTTACTTGTTGTTGCCACCTTCCTCTTTTCCCATCTACTTCTTACTCTAACTGTAGCTACAACTAAATAATGATCCGATATATCAGTTACCCCTCTATAAACATGTACATCCTGGAGCCTACCCATCAACCTTTTATCCACCAATACATAATCTAATAAACTACTTTCATTACATGCTACATCATACCTTGTATATTTATTTATCCTCTTTTTCATAAAATATGTATTACTTATTACCAAATCTCTTTCTACACATAGCTCAATTAAAGGCTCCCCATTTACATTTACCCCTGGCACCCCAAATTTACCTACTACTCCCTCTATAACATTTTTACCCACTTTAGCATTGAAATCCCCAACCACCATTACTCTCACACTTGATTCAAAACTCCCCATGCATTCACTCAACATTTCCCAAAATCTCTCTCTCTCCTCTACACTTCTCTCTTCTCCAGGTGCATACACGCTTATTATAACCCACTTTTCACATCCAATCTTTATTTTACTCCACATAATCCTTGAATTAATACATTTATAGTCCCTCTTTTCCTGCCATAGCTTATCCTTCAACATTATTTCTACTCCTTCTTTAGCTCTAACTCTATTTGAAACCCCTGACCTAATCCCATTTATTCCTCTCCATTGAAACTCTCCCACCCCCTTCAGCTTTGTTTCATTTAAAGCCAGGACATCCAGCTTCTTCTCATTCATAACATCCACATTCATCTCTTTCTTATCATTTGCACAACATCCACGCACGTTCAGACTTCCCACTTTGACAATTTTCTTCTTATTCTTTTTAGTAATCTTTACAGGAAAAGGGGTTATATATTATTATATATTATTATTATTATTCACAAATAAAATTTACTCAGAGGGTTAGAACTATTATATTCATGGGAGAAGTGTTAAATCTGAACAGGTCTTACAGTACCTCTGAATGAGAGTAATCAGGTTTGGTCCAAGGGAAGAGTAGGTAATTTTTTGGATCAAAAACCCTTTACCAACATCAAGGATCAAAGGTCAGAAATTTTTTCCCTATAAGCTTAAAACTATCATAACTTTCCCCACAGCTCAATGCAAGGCCCAATTCCAGAAGACTTTATAGGCTCTACTTTTTCTCACACTTGACTGCTAAGGCAGTAATAAGTTAGTTCTTTAGCAACACATTTAATTTCAGCTTGACTCTCGTTAATAATACGCATTATAGTCCTCTGGGCTACTACCTTTATACTGTAAAGGATTTAATGTATTCACTGTTGATATGTAAAAATGTATTTTGGTATTTATCAATTCACCTACACCTCTTGGCATTCCACTGCTAAGTATAACCAAGACCAAATATACATGCAATATATTGTAAAGAGTAAGCAATTTTTAAAGGTAAGAAATAAAAAAATAATCCTAAGAAACATTATAGAATGTTAATATAAAGGAATCAAACATAAAAATAATTATAACATGGAAATGTTGCACATCAGTGAGAGTCCAACAAAACTACAGAATAATTTGCACATAATGAGATGAAGTTTGAGTGGAAAAACAGTACAGGTGTTTCTTGCTTTATGCAACAGATGTGTCCCTGGGCCATGGTGTATAAAGCAAACTCACACAAAATAAACCCAGTTTAATATGTAAAACAGGGATGCATGGCCCATTTAAGTATATCACTTTCAATATGTAATATGCACAGGTACTCATCAGAGCAAAGGACACACAAACACAGGTGGATGCAAATGAGTGGTGATGAAAGTCTAGCTGATGTAATTACCTATTTGTAGCTACAGGAGCATCATGCAATTTTTTTTTAAATTTACAATGGTTGAAGTACTTACTACCTTCTCTTAATCACTTCAATGGTCAACCACTGAAACCAGAAATTCCCTATTATTCCTCTGGCTCCACTTTCTGTTCATTTTCCAACTGTAGCCTCCCGTTATCCCTGCTGCAGGTACTAAGGAATCTTTTATCAACTCTTTCATGTCATCTTATAACATGTATAGTTACGTTTCCTCTCTTCGTCCTATCAGTTAACATGAGCCTCTGTATTGTTTAAAGTAGAGGATGGTGAAGAGTTGTAAAGGTGAGACTCATCACATGTAGAAAGCAGGTTAACATCTGTAGAAGGCACATGCAAAGAATTATCATTATCATTACAGCACCAATGGAGAAAATGTAGAGGGGGATGGGCCAGTTAAAGCAGACCTGGGTATGAGTGAAGACTTCAAAAACTGCACCATGCAGGACTGCTGAGCCATTCATTACTTCCGAGTGCACACCTTCAGGCTGACAGTTGAACTTCGAGGCTCTTATGTGGCTAGGGTCAAATCAAAACATCTCTCAGCCTGTGTAAACAATTCTGTCAACCTCTTCACAACCAGGCCCTCAACACTAAGATGCACTTCCTCCCCTTCTTCATGTCAATACATTGCAGCAGCATTATGATCGGCACTTGCTAATTCTCCAGTTACCTTAATATCATACAAGCTTAGATACCGATGGATTGTGTCTGATCAGCCCTTAACCCTTTGACTGTTTTGGTCGTATATACATGTACATGTCTTACGAGCCACTATTTCGGACGTATATATACGTACTCAATAATTCTAGCGGCTTCAAATCAGGCAGGAGAAAGCTGGTAGGCCCACATGTGAGAGAATGGGTCTGTGTGGTCAGTGTGTACTATATGAAAAAAATCCTGCAGCACGCAGTGCATAATGAGAAAAAAAAACGACTGTTTTTTTGTAATAAAACGCTGACTTTGAGGTGTGTTTTCGTATAGTATTTACTGTTGTATTCTCATTTTCATGGTCTCATGTGATAAAATAGAAAACATCTTACAGAAATAAGAGATGATTTTGATTAGTTTCCCAATGAAAACGACCTTGTAATTGAGCTCAAAGTAGCAGAAATGCTTGATTTTTACCAATGTTCCAGAGTAAGCAAATCACACTACATGTCCAATACACATCAACTGGGGAATCTAATATTCTTTCACTAGTGCACTGATATTATTTATACCATTTTTACAATAATGCAGTAGTCTGCATAACAGTAACTCTTCTATTTTTTCTATGAATAAAAAATCAAAATAGAAAGCAATAGTAATATAAGAGGGGCCTAGAGACATGACTAATGAACAGAGGATATGTTATTTTAGTGCCAAGAATGCCTACATTGTTTATTCTGGACCTTATTTTGAAATTGGCATCTTTTTTAATTTTCATGAAATTGGCCAAATTGCCAATTTCTGACCACTTTATTGGGTAGTTCAAATCGGTAAATGGGCAGTTTCTTGTACTCAATTAATAGAAAAAATGGAGTTCTAAAGAAATAGCTACGAGTTTGGTCAACTGGAACAATGGAATTGGCCAAAAATTGGGCTGAAAGTCTGCGAAATCACCGATGTGTATATGTTGCCGAGACCGCTAACTTCGCGGAGCATAATTCCGTGAGTTTTCGACCAAATTTCATACTTTTGGTGTCATTACCATCAGGAAAAGATTCTCTATCATTTCATAAGAAAAAATAACATTTTTTTTTCCAAAAATTTTTCGACATAGAATGACAGTTTCATAAAGGGGCTTGCAACAGTCAAAGGGTTAATAGCTCTTGGTGATCTCTTATAACTTGTATCAAGCAATCAGGAATTTTCAGGCCCTCAGCCCTGATTGCAGCATTCATATGCTTCTGGATCTGGTCTGCCACCCCACCAACACCAATAAGGGAAATGCATCAGGGTATAGTAGTACGTACTAACATTTTCACATAGATGCAAGACATGGGCTTTAAAAGTGGCAGCAGAAGGCTCAAGCATCGAGAATTTAGAGCTTAGCAATTATCTGGAGTTTACCTGGAGTGATTTCTGGGGATCAACGCCCCCACGGCCCGGTCTGAGACCAGGCCTCATGGTGGATCAGAGCCTGATCAACCAGGCTGTTACTGCTGGCTGGACTCAATCCAATGTACGAGCCACAGCCCGGCTGGTCAGGTACCGACTTTAGGTGCTTGTCCAGTGCCTGCTTGAGGACAGCCAGGGGTCTATTGGTAATCCCCCTTATGTATGCTGGGAGGCAGTTGAGCAGTCTTGGGCCCCTGACACTTTTTGTATTGTGAGGTTACCAAAGATATAATTCAAAGGGCCTGGAGTTTACTGAAGTGGTTTGGACATTTAGAAAGAATGGAGGAGAATAGAATGACCAAGAGGGTGTATAAAGCTGGGGTGGAGGGAAGAAGAGGGAAGGGTCATCCTAGGAAGGGTTGGAGGGAGGTAAGGTAAAGAATGTTTTGAGTGTTAAGTAATTAAACATCCAGAAGGCTTGTAAGAGCCTGTTAAATCAGACTGAATGGAGACAAGTGGTACTTATGACTTGATATGGTGTTGCACTGTGAGAAAGGCAACAGTTATGAAAGGAGTGAGAGGAACCAGGTAGCTAGACTTAAATCCTAGAGGTAGGAAGTACATTACCTGCACCCTGAAGGAGAAGTGGGGATGTTACAGTTTGGAGGGTCATTTGAATTGCTGATAACTGTGCAGTTCTGATAAGACAGCTTTTCAATGAATGGTGAAACAATAAATGTTTATTTTTTCTTGGTTGCTACCTTGGTGAGAGATGGCTGCTGTGTTAAAATAAAAATATATGATGTCCCTGGCGGGGCAAGGAGCTGAAACTCGACCTCTGCAATCACATTCAGTACATGTGAGCACATACAGGCGAGTACATGCATATGCACAGCAAAAATTAAATATGAAATAATAAATCCTATTTTAACTTATTTACTCATTAATTTTGAAACTGACCTTCATGATCAAAGTCTTCTAGGAGGAGTTGGAGCTTCGCTTTCTTTTGTTCCAGTTCCATGTCTGGCTCAATTATGGAGTCATCTGGAACTGTTGGTCTAGCCCGAGTGGGAACACGTGACAGCTTCTTACGAGGCATATTTCTGTGGCACATTAGAAATTATATACTGCAATTTATGGCTTTATTCTTAAAGGATGTAAATTCTATTTAATAATAGCATCATTACAGTATTTCATTTGTAAGAAACAAAAATACTGTAATTTAGTGAACACCTGATGTACACTTGGGTAAGCATGACAGGCAATAATGTTACCAGAAATAATACTTAAGCTAAATTTTGATCAACATAAAAAATAAAATAAACAATTTTACTTTCTAAGGATACTACAGTAATTATAAGCTTACAGTGTGTTTATATACAGTCTGAAATCCCCATAATCACACACATCACTCTGCGCAAAGCTTAACTATACTGGAACTTTTATAGTCCTCTTCATGCCCCCCCCCCCTGCCTCGGTGGGAGACGGCCGACTTGAGAAAAAAAAAAATTAATATATATATATATTATATATATATATATATATATATATATATATATATATATATATATATATATATATATATATATATTTATATATATATCTATGAAAGATGAGGTGAATCATAGAATTGATGAGGGGAAAAGGGTGAGTGGTGCACTTAGGAGTCTGTGGAGACAAAGAACTTTGTCCTTGGAGGCAAAGAGGGGAATGTATGAGAGTATAGTTTTACCAACGCTCTTATATGGGTGTAAAGCATGGGTGATGAATGTTGCAGCGAGGAGAAGGTTGGAGGCAGTGGAGATGTCATGTCTGAGAGGAATGTGTGGTGTGAATATAATGCAGAGAATTCGTAGTTTGGAAGTTAGGAGGAGGTGCGGGATTACCAAAACTGTTGTCCAGAGGGCTGAGGAAGGGTTGTTGAGGTGGTTCGGACATGTGGAGAGAATGGAGCGAAACAGAATAACTTCAAGAGTGTATCAGTCTGTAGTGGAAGGAAGGCGGGGTAGGGGTCGGCCTAGGAAAGGTTGGAGGGAGGGGGTAAAGGAGGTTTTGTGTGCAAGGGGCTTGGACTTCCAGCAGGCATGCGTGAGCGTGTTTGATAGGAGTGAATGGAGACAAATGTTTTTTAATACTTGACATGCTGTTGGAGTGTGAGCAAAGTAACATTTATGAAGGGGTTCAGGGAAACCGGCAGGCCGGACTTGAGTCCTGGAGATGGGAAGTACAGTGCCTGCACTCTGAAGGAGGGGTGTTAATGTTGCAGTTTAAAAACTGTAGTGTAAAGCACCCTTCTGGCAAGACAGTGGTGGAGTGAATGATGGTGAAAGTTTTTCTTTTTCGGGCCACCCTGCCTTGGTGGGAATCAGCCAGTGTGATAATAAAATAAATAAATTATATATATATATATATATATATATATATATATATATATATATATATATATATATATATATATATATATATATATATATATATATATATATATATATATATATATATATATATATATATATATAAATCCTTACATTGTTCTTGAGGGCACACACATGTTATGAGCATGTAAAAAAGTACACTATGTAGATCTAACCTAAGATAATCAAATTATGTCAAACAATGTGACTTACATATTTTCACTGAGGTCTCTTATAAAGGTACGTACTGTCAGATAAAAGTTAAGTCGGACCCAAAGATTTAAAGCTTGCTTAGACTAACTTGAATTATGTATATGTAGTAACATGCATACAAATACCTAATTACATGCACTTAACTGCATTTTGCTCTGACATGTCACATCCAACATTACTCTACCTAAAAAATATATTAATTTACAATCTCAATGCAAAACTAAGAAAATTTTTATTAGATTAACCACAAAAAGTAATTTTTTCCTTTCGGGGTCCTTAAAGAGTCTTCCCCAGAATGCAACCCACAACTCCTAGGTATCAATTATTATTATTACAATCATAGCTAAGTGCTAAACCCACTAGGGTCATACTGCACCCCCAGGTATCTATTTACTGCTGGGTAACTGGGGCACGTGTTATATTTGCCCATACTTTTCACCCAAACTTTTGAATGGCTCATTGACTATATGAATCGTTCAGTTATATTGTATAACCTAAAAAAAATTTTAAAATTAAGAAAATTGCATAGCTTCTCCCACATTTGGGATATGTGCAGGAAGTTTCTTGATGATGCTAGCAGTATACTTAGTAATTAAGTGAATACTTCAGAGGTTTATCCTTCTTTCAGAATACGTGTAGACTTAGAGATTTATTACACTTAAGTATACGTGTAGACTTACAGATAATTCTTATTAGTTTGAAATAATATGGAATATTTTTAAAGCTGTACCATTGTTCATTTAGTTACCATTCTTATACATTCAATAAAAAAAAATTATCCAAAACAGCTGGCATCCTCTCAAAGATATGTTATGTACCACAAACAGCACTACTTACATTATACTATTTACTGATCTACCCCTACCTCACCTACGCTATTTGTGCATTGGGATACACAACAGCAAATCACTTTAAGCCAATAATAACTCAACAAAAAGCCGCAGTATGAATGATCATATAGTCCACTACTAGACAACATCCGCCAAACTCTTCAAAGACCTAAATCAACTTACTATGCAAAACATTCACTCTTACTACTGTACATTCTACATTTACAGAACAAATTCTAATGTTAATCTCGACCTGAAGCAATTTCTTGATAGCTGCAACAGGACCCATAGACATAATTCTAGGCACAAAAATCTCTGACATACCCAGTGTCCGGCTTAATCTTTGTAAAAAGTCAATGTATATAAAAGGGCCCAAAATCTGGAAAACTCTGCAGGAAATCTCCAGAACCACTGTCTTAGCCAACATTTTCAAAACTACTGTTAAAAAACACCTATCCCTAATATATCCCAACATCGGCTAAATATGTGAAAACTATATATATCCATATTCTCATGGTCACATATGGAAAACAATATAATCTTATTCTCAATATCTATAATCCTCACAACCATTAAAACATTGAATGTGTTCACATTATGTTAATTTACTAGAATCCTCATTACCTATGATCATAATCAAACATGTATGTAATTGTAAAAACAGTTAAACTTGATAAAAGTCATATAGCATATACTAATAAGATATTCAATTGTCTTGTATTCACTGTAACTCCTAAATTTATTTTTTTACAACCACTTAAAGAGGCTGCATATAAAAGCACTCAATTAGTCATTGCCTTATTAATCTTAATTTTGCCTGAAATGCTTGGCATATTAAGGGGCTTTCTGCATGTACACTGAAATGTCATTCACCTTTGTACAAACACTGATGGAATAAAGAATCTTACTCTTAATTATAGTTAAATGCATGAGTAATCCTAATTAATAATCTGTCTAATTCTTAAGTAGTTTTTAATCATTAGGATTAGTCTGCCTGAAATGCAATGCATACTAGTGGTATTCTTCTTGCCTAACAATATTTCTATTATAATGTAAACTACATTATCTGTGTTACTGTATAAGAGAAAAAAAATTGAACTTGAAAGGGAGGAGAGTGATTTCTTGTATAGCTAAGATTTATTATTGCAAGCTGTTTCTCCCTTTAATGTTAATGTAAATAACTCAGTTTACTTTCTTATTATTGTATCTCCTTTTACTGTAGTTGATTTTTGCACAGTTGAGTGACTTAGTTGTTTTAACATCTAAGGTTTAAATAATAAGATATGGTAAAAGTAGGTCTTAGACAGGGATGTGTAATGTCACCAAGGTTGTTTAATATATTTATAGATGGGGTTGTAAAAGAAGTAAATGATAGGGTGATCGGGAGAGGGGTGGGATTAAATTATGGGGAATCAAATACAAAATAGGAGTTGAAACAGTTACTTTTTGCTGATGATACTGTGGTTACCTGGAGAGGTTATGGTTATGGAAGATTCTAAAGAAAAGCTGCAAAGGTTAGTGGACAAGTTTGGGAGGGTGAGTAAGGTAGAAAGTTGAAAGTGAACATAGATAAGAGTAAGGTGATGGGGGTATCAAATGATTGAGATAAAGAAAAACTGGATATCACATTGAAGACAGGGAGTATGGAAGTGAACGTTTTCAGATATTTGGGAGTTGACGTGTCAGCGGATGGGTTTATGAAGGATGAGGTTAACCACAGAATTGCTGAAGGAAAAAAGGTGAGTAGTGCATTTAGGTATGAGGAGACAAAAAATGTTATCTAAGGAGGCAAAGAAGGGAATGTATGAAAGTATAGTAGTACCAACTGTCTTATATGGGTGTGAAGCTTGTGTTGTAAATGCAGCAGCAAGGAGGTGGTTGGAGGCAGTGGAGATGTCCTGTCTAAGGGCAATGTGTGGTGTAAATATTATGCAAAAAATTCGGAGTGTGGAAATTAGGAGAAGGTGTGGAGTTAATAAAAGTATTAGTCAGAGGGCAGAAGAGGGGTTGTTGAGGTGGTTTGGTCATTTAGAGAGAATGGATTAAAGTAGAATAACAGAGAGCGTATAAATCTGTAGGGGAAGGAAGGCGGGGTAGGGGTCGTCCTCGAAAAGGTTGGAGAGAGAGGGTAAAGGAGGTTTTGTGGGCGAGGGGCTTGGACTTCCAGCAAGCGTGCGTGAGCGTGTTAGGAGTGAATGGAGACAAATGGTATTTGGGACCTGACGAGCTGTTGGAGTGTGAGCAGGGTAATATTTAGTGAAGGGATTCAGGGAAACCGGTTATTTTCATATAGCCGGACTTGAGTCCTGGAAATGGGAAGTACAATGCCTGCACTTTAAAGGAGGGGTTTGGGATATTGGCAGTTTGGAGGGATATGTTGTATATCTTTATACGTATATGCTTCTAAACTGTTGTATTCTGAGCACCTCTGCAAAAACAGTGATAATGTGTGTGTGGTGAAAGTGTTGAATGATGATGAAAGTATTTTTTGTGGGGGATTTTCTTTCTTTTTGGGTCAACCTGCCTCGGTGGGAGACGGCCAACTTGTTGAAAGAATTATTATTATTATTATTACAATCAAGGGGGAAGCGCTAAACCCGGAGGATTATACAGCGCCTGGGGGGGGGGATGTGGAAGGCATTCAGGCTTAATTTGGGGAACTGGAGCACAGATCCAATTCCCTAAATCAAGAGCCCCTCACCAACATCAAGGAACCTTCCTTGAGGGGTTGTTGAAAGAAAAAAGTATTACAATGACCCCAGTGGAAATAAGTAAATGTCTGACTTTTTGGTTATCTTAGGTAACTTACACTATGTGTCATGATTGTACTTATGTGTAACTGAAGCTAAATAAACTTACTTATTTACTAATTCTTCAAGATATTTGTACTATACTATAGGTTACTTCAGCACAGCTGTGGTTTTTTTGAATTAAACAAGTGAAGCTCGCCAGGGTCGGTGAGTATAAAGTAATTATACATATAAACCCAATGACATTCCTCGTATCCGGCTAAATCTCTACAAAAATTCGATGTACATAAAAGGGCCTAAAATCTGAAACTCCCTGTCTGAAAACTCTAGAACCGCAGACTGAACCACCATCTTCAAAACTACTGTTGAAAAACATGTTATCTCTCTAACACACCCCATCATCAGCTACCCAAATGAAAACCACCTAATTCTCTTTTTTGTATGATGAACACATCCAAAACTAAATAGACTTACTCTCGTTATCTGTAATTCCCCATAATTTACACTTACACTCACTCAAATGACTGTAAACAAAATTCCTAATATAGCTGTTGCCTAATAAATCTTAAGTCAGTCCTAAATTTGCTTAAGATACTCTTCCAATATAGGAACTTTAATATAAACAATGTATCATGCCAAGACAAGACCATTCCCATTAATAAATTTACTAATTGTAATATTGGTATATGTTTTGTACTACCTCACTGTTAAAAGTCTAATTAATCACTTCATTTATCTAACTTGTATATCAGTATGCAATAATGTATGTTAAAATGTATTGCTCCATAACCTGTGTCAATATAGAGTAAGAATTAGGCATAGTCCACGGTTACCTTTAGACTATGTCTAACTGTGGACGGTGACACCTACGCTACTCTGAGACCTCTCTCCCTGCTTTGGTTGCTCCCTCGCAATGTTGCACAGCTCCTGATGACGCACTGAGAAGTGTGAAAGTACTTGAGCTAAAGATTTCCATCCCCCACCGTGGCTTGTCCTGCATAGTTAAGATCGCTCTTCTGCGATTGTTTGCATGCATATAAATATATATATATATATATATATATATATATATATATATATATATATATATATATATATATATATATATATATATATATATATATATATATATATATATATATATAATGTAAACAAAGATGTATGTAATGTAAAGAGGAACATGTAAACAAAAGCCCATGTAATGTAAACAAAGATGCATTTAATGTAAACAAGGACATGTAAACAAAGAAGCATGGAATGTAAAGATTGGTGTGTATAATGTAGACAAAGATGCCCTATTCGCACATCTACCCCTGGCGGAGAAGGTTAATAAAGTTGCATTAGGCTGTTATGTTGGATTTCTTTAGGTTAACTTACATTTCTCAACATTTCCACAAAGTAAACTCATCTAATATTTTACATTTTAAGGAATAATTAATGGATCACCTCAGACCCGGACCTGAGGTCAGTGTTGACCGAATTAACTGAGTTATCCTAGGTGAAAGTGCACGCAATTTACTCTGTAAAACCATTAATAAGTAAGTAAATGTATTTAGGCACAGGTACACATAAATACAGTTATTATACATAATTATGTATAATTAGACACAGGTACACATAAGTACAGTTAATATAAATAAGTATGTATATTTAGGCACAGGTACATATAAGTACAATTATTATACATAAATAAAAAAGTATATTGAGGCACAAGTACACGTAAATAGTACAATTATCACATAGGGTTCCTAGGATAACCCTCCCCCGAAAAAGGTCAAAGTGACTTATTTGCATTGTAAATAAGTCACTTTGTCTGACTTTTTTGGGTTATCCTACTTAAGTTACACTATATATGATAATTGTACTTATGTGTATCTGTACTTAAATAAACTTACTTCAAATTATAGTTGGTGAGGGTGTGACCACTGAGCTACGGGCGAGTCCCTGGTGGTGGTGACGTCACAGTGTTGTGGTGTCACAGTTGATTGTGACACTTGTGTTACCTGGTGTGTTACCTGGTGTGTCCCTACACCACACAGGTACACTGTACCACATCTCACTAACATCCCTGCCACTTGTACCACCTTAAATACGGGGAGAAGCCACAAGACCCTGCCAGGCAGGGGCTCCCTGTACGGTACTGTACACAAGACACTCTTGTGGTGTTAAGATTATTATGGGTCATAATTATGGAGTTGTCATATAATACCCACTAAGGGGGCATTTTATGAAGGGCTTTTGATCCAAGGGTCCTTTACCTGGTTACCTCCCACTTAACTAGTGCTCTTTGACTCCTACAGGCTTAGCGCTCTCCCATGCTAATCTTTTTACTTCATAACATTCTGTATAATCTTGCGGGTTTAGCTCTCTTCCATAATTCTAATAATTATAATACTTTATAACATCTGTAGACCCCAGTGGGTTTAGCTCTTGGTTATATTTGTAATAATAATAATCTTACATTTGTAAATTTAATATAAATACTACAGCTTAATGTGTCAAATATGTCTTGTTATAAATGTTCTTTTGGCTACTCGGCATTGTGTGACCCATACGGGTTTAACACCTTTTATTAATTAAATAACCTGTGTGTTTTTCTGGGGATTGAGCTATAGCGCTTGGCACCCCCCACCCACTGACTGAGGTGCATAGTGGCACCCAAGTATTGTACTGTGGGGTTACTCTTCGGCTTCTTGCCGCCCACATTAATATGTATACTTATGGATCTTGTTGTTTATTCATAACAAAAATGTTCATAGATAAACTTTAATTAACCTAACCTGTCTTTCCCTATCCTAACTACCTAACTTAATTTTACTTAACCTAACTCTTAATGCTTCCTATCCTAACTTTACTTAATCTAACTTTATGTAACCTATCTTAAAGACAAATTGAGGGGTAATATAATTGAGGTATACAGTTAGGTACTTTAATTATATCATCAGTTCATTTTTAAAATGTTGTACATAAGTAAATATGCTACATAAAATACAACATTCTCAGTTCATGTCGGTTAACTCATGACCATAAAATGAAATGTGCAGCCTTGACTCCTGCCCACGTCTTTGTAAAATTTAAGGCACAACTGGCATAAATCAGTAATTGATAACAAGACGATCGTTGGGCTAACACCCGGATCATTGCAACTAGGTAATCTACATATATGCTGCTATGTAGGATTATTTAACTGTATTTATGTGCATCTGTACCTGAATAAACTTACTAAATCATAACTCAAAATTATCATCACTCAAGACCATCCTAACTCAAGGGACCACTGTACTGTTTGTATTTTTAGAGGTGGATAAGGGCAACAGGCAGCAGCTCCCCCAAGATGTTTGGGACAAACAGTTCCAATCGAGGAGCATTTTTGGAGGCAACAAGGGAAGCTAGAGAAGAGCGAGCAGCAGAACGAAGACGAGATGAAGCTGCTGTGAAGATACAGGCCACTGTTCGGGGCTGGCTTGTCCGTTGTTCATTGGATAAAAATGTCAGGTGAGAGAAATTTTTTTTTTAGGGCTTTAAATGTAATAACAATTACATTATCCCAATATTTTTCAATACTGTAGTTTATTTTCAGAACAGTATCTTATTACATGTATCCAAATAATTTTGTTAAATCTTACAAAGCTTATTCACTGGCAATGTACTTATTGTCTTTTGGGGTTATTGCTTCTTGATGATTGTTTTGAGAATTGGTTTCTTCTAATGACATGGTGGACTTTCAAATAGCATCTAAAAAATGGACCAATAATTTTGCATTGTAATTGACATATACCAAGGGCTATCAGAAAGTTCTCAAACTCCTGTGAAAAAATATATAGGGTTATCTAATTACTTAGCTGAAGTTGTCTCCCTCAAAGTACTGTCTTTGGGAGGCTGTACACTGATTCCAGTTTCTCTGCCACTTCTTGAAACATATATGGAACTCTTCTTTCCTAATGGCATCTAGTGCAGCCTGTGATTTTGCATAAGTCTTACATCATTAAAACTCTGTCTCTTGAGTGCCATTTTTATTTATGGGAAGAGAAAGAAGTCATGGGGGCAGTATCTAGGGAGTAAGGAGGATGGAGGATGACTGCCACTTTGTTTTTGGTCAGAAAACGATGGTCTTTCTGGTCTTAAGTCAACAAGCTGGGCGCACATTTCACACCTACTCACCTCACGTTTAAATTTTCATTAAAAATGCTTTTACACAACTCATGAGAAATTGTCACAGAATTTGCACCATTCTGATGATAACCTTCATGAAAACCTTCTTCACTTTTTCAATGTTGACATCTGTTTTTGATGTTGATGGACAACCAGAGTGTTCATCATCCTCAACTGATGTTCCTCCAACTTTGAATTGAGAAAACCATTCAGAACACTGTCCGATCCATTGCTTCATCACCAAATGCTTGCTGAAGCATTTTGTGAGTTTCACTAGCTCTTTTTACTAGCTTGAAACAGATTTTCACATATATACATGTTGCTTTCTTTTAAAGATCCATTCTGTTACCAAAAAAAAAAAAATTGCAACATCACACTGACAACACAACAAAAAATGCCTGTCTAACCTCAACAGAATGACTAATTGTAATGAAACTCACCATGATACTTAACATATTTCACCCACTAAGTGTGTGAAAAATTTATTACAGGAGCTTTTTGATAGCACCTTGTATGTGCACCATATGGGGCATATTCCATGGTACTCGTACCATGGAATATGCCCCATAGTCTTAGCTGATATTTGTAAAGAATTTCAGTCTTATTTTTCACTTCAGGTAATGTTTCTTGGTTTCTTGAAAAATGTTTAGAACATTATGATTGGACTACATAACTTTGGGTATTTTGGTACTCTTCACTGTGCTATTTAGGTATAAAGATAGTGAAACCTTTGTTGTATTATTGAGACTGTGCTGTACTTTTTCTTATTGGTATTTATAGCCCATTTGTGGAAACTTAGCATATTTCATTATATTATAGGTGTAGATTTTTGGTTATGAGCAAATGTCTTGACTGCCTCACCTCAACTGCTTCCATGTTTTGTTAGGTAAGACACATATGCAACAGTTAGACAACTTTATTCCGAAACGTTTCGCCTACACAGTAGGCTTCTTCAGTCGAATACAGAAAGTAGGCAGGAACAGTAGAGATGTGAAGACGATGTAATCAGTCCATCACCCTTAAAGTCATAGAATTTGAGGTTGTCAGTCCCTCGGCCTGGAGAAGTTCAGTTCCATAGTCAGGAACTATCTGAAGATCAAGCGACAGTGCGGAGACTTAAATACTGTCAGAAGGAGAGGTGCAGGGTAGTAGTAGTAGTAGTAGTAGTAGTAGTAGTGAGAGGCCACTGAGAGGTCATGTCCCTCTCAGATCCAACACTTCTCACTTGAAAAGCTTGTCCAAGGTGTTTTCTGTACCAAGATGCCACGTGTTGCAGTGTCTGACAAGATGAACATCAAAATGGTATACAATACCGACAGGTTGTTAGGTAAGACACATATGCAACAGTTAGACAACTTTATTCCGAAACGTTTCGCCTACACAGTAGGCTTCTTCAGTCGAATACAGAAAGTAGGCAGGAACAGTAGAGATGTGAAGACGATGTAATCAGTCCATCACCCTTAAAGTCGTAGAATTTGAGGTTGTCAGTCCCTCGGCCTGGAGAAGTTCAGTTCCATAGTCAGGAACTATCTGAAGATCAAGCGACAGTGAGGAGACTTAAATACTGTCGGAAGGAGAGGTGCAGGGTAGTAGTAGTAGTAGTAGTAGTGAGAGGCCACTGAGAGGTCATGTCCCTCTCAGATCCAACACTTCTCACTTGGCCTTCTCAGTGGCCTCTCACTACTACTACTACTACTACTACTACTACCCTGCACCTCTCCTTCCGACAGTATTTAAGTCTCCGCACTGTCGCTTGATCTTCAGATAGTTCCTGACTATGGAACTGAACTTCTCCAGGCCGAGGGACTGACAACCTCAAATTCTATGACTTTAAGGGTGATGGACTGATTACATCGTCTTCACATCTCTACTGTTCCTGCCTACTTTCTGTATTCGACTGAAGAAGCCTACTGTGTAGGCGAAACGTTTCGGAATAAAGTTGTCTAACTGTTGCATATGTGTCTTACCTAACAACCTGTCGGTATTGTATACCATTTTGATGTTCATGCTTCCATGTTTATTAAGCATATAATATTTGAAAACAGAGTAGTGAATTGGTTGAGCTGGGAATTCAGACTGCTTACAGTATAGTTTATAGTTAATGTGAAATTCTAATCTTAGTGGAGTTCATGGTCACTGGTCTGTCTCAGTTACTGATTGTGCCTTCGAGAGACATACCGAGCTACAACAGAATTTACTGACGGTAGCCTACATGAGAGCTTTGGATTCATCCATTCAAAAAACCATATCAGTCAAAAAACTTTGATAAACGTCATGTGCAGAATATCAGGGAATTCTTGAAAGATTAAGATGCTAGTCATATTAAGCAAACAAATAAAGTACTAGTTTATTCCACACGTGAGTAACGAAGAGGTATTGAAGATATTTATTCAAGGAAAGGTGTTGGAGTGCTATGCAAAATAAAGAAAGGACTTGGAAACAATGTAAGAAGTGGGCCATTCTAGAGATGTAATGTCAGTATCAGTACCAATTCAGTTGAACCCCCAAATTCGTGTACCTTCAAATTTGCTTGCATATATTACTCTACTTTTACTGAAGCATTTTCCACAAATAACTTTGATTATGTGTGTCTTTCCTCAGTTCTCTCTTTGCTACATATATCTTGTTAATTTGTCATACTACATACCCAGCAACTACACAAGAAATAATGTAAAACATCTATGATGATTGATTGTGTTATAGTTGATGTGATAGTGTTAATTATCATTTTGACGCTCTTCAGGGAAAGGTTTGACGACTTGTTCGGAAGTGAAGTAGTACTGTCGGACCAGACACCCACACTACCTCCTGCCTTGGATGTGTTCCAACAGATCACACACTTCATTAAGATATTTAAATTGGAGAAGGATGAGAAGAGATTTGAGATATTTACTAGGTAAATATACCTTTGATTCATAGCAATATATAGCAGTATACAGTTTATAAGTTCAATATATCCTTTCTATAACCAACTTTTGTTATGCAAGGCTTTGCTTCTTAAAGTCTCACAAGTTCTTCCTTACTCAGTATCAGTGTAAAGTATAGTACTACTGTACCGTAACAAAAGGTTACATATATTACACTTGTTAATTCACTATTGTAACAATGTAGATTCCATTATAATTTCTTTTACAGGTAATTCTGTGATTCATAGATTTTTTTTTTTTTTCAACAAGTCGGTCGTCTCCCACCGAGGCAGGGTGACCCAAAAAAGAAAGAAAATCCCCAAAAAGAAAATACTTTCATCATCATTCAACACTTTCACCACACTCACACATTATCACTGCTTTTGCAGAGGTGCTCAGAATACAACAGTTTAGAAGCATATACGTATAAAGATACACAACATATCCCTCCAAACTGCCAATATCCCAAACCACTCCTTTAAAGTGCAGGCATTGTACTTCCCATTTCCAGGACTCAAGTCCGACTATATGAAAATAACCGGTTTCCCTGAATCCCTTCACTAAATATTACCCTGCTCACACTCCAACAGATCGTCAGGTCCCAAGTATCATTCGTCTCCATTCACTCCTATCTAACACGCTCACGCACGCTTGCTGGAAGTCCAAGCCCCTCGCCCACAAAACCTCCTTTACCCCCTCTTTCCAACCCTTTCGAGGATGACCCTACCCCTCTTTCCTTCCCCTATAGATTTATATGCTTTCCATGTCATTCTACTTTGATCCATTCTCTCTAAATGACCAAACCACCTCAACAACCCCTCTTCTGCCCTCTGACTAATGCTTTTATTAACTCCACACCTTCTCCTAATTTCCACACTCCGAATTTTCTGCATAATATTTACACCACACATTGCCCTTAGACAGGACATCTCCACTGCCTCCAACCATCTCCTCGCTGCTGCATTTACCACCCAAGCTTCACATCCATATAAGAGTGTTGGTACTACTATACTTTCATACATTCCCTTCTTTGCCTCCATAGATAACGTTTTTTGACTCCACATATACCTCAATGCACCACTCACCTTTTTTCCCTCATCAATTCTATGATTAACCTCATCCTTCATAAATCCATCCGCCGACACGTCAACTCCCAAGTATCTGAAAACATTCACTTCTTCCATACTCCTCCTCCCCAATTTGATATCCAATTTTTCTTTATCTAAATCATTTGATACCCTCATCACCTTACTCTTTTCTATGTTCACTTTCAACTTTCTACCTTTACACACATTCTCAAACTCATCCACTAACCTTTGCAATTTTTCTTTAGAATCTCCCATAAGCACAGTATCATCAGCAAAAAGTAACTGTGTCAATTCCCATTTTGAATTTGATTCCCCATAATTTAATCCCACCCCTCTCCCGAACACCCTAGCATTTACTTCTTTTACAACCCCATCTATAAATATATTAAACAACCATGGTGACATTACACATCCCTGTCTAAGACCTACTTTTACCGGGAAGTATTCTCCCTCTCTTCTACACACCCTAACCTGAGCCTCACTATCCTCATAAAAGCTCTTTACAGCATTTAGTAACTTACCACCTATTCCATAAACTTGCAACATCTGCCACATTGCTCCTCTATCCACTCTATCATATGCCTTTTCTAAATCCATAAAAGCAATAAAAGCTTCCCTACCTTTATCTAAATACTGTTCACATATATGCTTCAATGTAAACACTTGATCTACACATCCCCTACCCACTCTGAAGCCTCCTTGCTCATCCGCAATTCTACATTCTGTCTTACCTCTAATTCTTTCAATTATAACCCTACCGTATACTTTTCCTGGTATACTCAGTAAACTTATTCCTCTATAATTTTTACAATATCTTTTGTCCCCTTTCCCTTTATATAAAGGGACTATACATGCTCTCCGCCAATCCCTAGGTACCTTCCCCTCTTTCATACATTTATTAAACAAAAGTACCAACCACTCCAACACTATATCCCCCCCTGCTTTTAACATTTCTGTCATGATCCCATCAGTTCCAGCTTTCAGACTTTTTTGTGTGTTATGTTTCTCATATATAGTATATTTTTTTCTTTGCTGGTTGCTTAACTAGGAGTGCTGTATCAGTCTATTGTAGGACATGTTTTGCCAAGTCAAGACACTAATTAGGCAAAAAAGAAAGGTATGAGAAGGATGCTTCAAAATAGAAAGAAAGTAGTGGAAAGAACAGTCGGTAATTATAAAGGAGGAAGAGTTTTAGAAGCTGTGATGGCACCATTTGAAAATAAATGGTATAAAATACCGACACAATGGAAACATAAACACATATGCAGTTTAATGTGATCGTTTATTGACAACATTTCGCCCACACAGTGGGCTTTTTCAAGTCACACACAGATCTACCTGGGGTGGAAGGTACCGGAGAATTTATAGTCAGGTTCAGAATGTTGAGGTCAGGTGGAGAATGCTGCATCTGATGATCTACCGGGTGGGGTTAAAGAGTCTTGGGTAGCTTGGCAGGGGTATTGGAGAAGTTGTGAGTAGACCTTCTGCAGTGTTCTATGTTCTTATGTGGGATAGCGATGAAGAAGTTTCTTGGCGAGTGGTTCAGCTATGTTATAGAAGCCGTTGTTCTGGTTGAAATTGTTGGTACAACATCGCAATTTACACAACCATTTAATTAACTACAGAAACTCAAGACTTATGGCCACAGAAGACAACACTCAATACCGAAGAATCCTGGACTCATCGCTTATCTCTATAACCAACGATTTCATGGATTAGTTAGTTTAATATCTTTATTTTGTCATACCCATTGTGTGGGCAGCATTCAAATTATTAGAGGCACATAATGAGTCCAGGGACTGAGCCACAAAGTTTTAATAACTAAGCAAGTTAGTCATATGGGTCCCTGTTGACCACATAGATCTAGACACACACAAAAACACAGTAAATAATAACAAAAGCTGACCACAATATGTTTGGCAAGGTTTCTGCAAGCAACAGCTTAATCCTTTCACTGTCAGGCCCACAAAAATGAAAGTGCTGACAGTGTTGGAATTTAATAAACAAAATTTTTTGAAATTGTAGATATTATTTTTCTGAAGCTAATGGCACCAAAACTACAAAATTCGATGGAAAGCTTAATGATTTATACGGGAAATAAGTTGTTTGTTTGGGCGCAATTTACGTCTCGACAATTTTGCTCAGTTTGAATCCTATTTTAAGTCAATTCCATTGCTCAGTTTGACCAAGTTCTTAGCTTTTTACCTGGTATGCCTTCCAGTCTGGTTGACCAAGTTCTTAGCTTTTTTGCTATTATGCCTTCCAATCTGTTGATTGAACACAAGAACCCACTTATTTAACTATCAGAACTTCTCTATAACATTCACAGAAGTAGGTAATTTGGCCAGTTTGACAATTAAATAAATTCCAGTTTAAAAACAGAATCCAAAATAAACTCTGTAATACATTTCGGCAACTAATGCAACCTATCCATTAACCCTTTCAGGGTTGGCAGGCCCTCTCCTAAACTTGTTCTCAGGGTCAGAAATTTAAAAAAAAAAAAAAAAAATTTCTTATGGAATGATAGAGAATCTTTTCCCGATCATAATGACACCAAAAGTATGAAATTTGATGGAAAACTTACGGAATTACGCTCTCGCGAAGTTAGCGGTCTCGACGATGTTTGCGCATTGGTGATTTTGTCCACTTTGAGCCCTATTTTTGGCCAATTCCAATGTACCAGTGGACAAAAATCATAACTATTTCGCTAGAACTCCATGTTTTCTATCGAATGAGTACAAGAAACCACCCATTTACCGATTTCAACTATCCAGCAAAGTGGTCCGAAATTAGCAATTTTGCCAATTTCACACAAATTTCAAAAGATACCAATTTCCAAATAGGGTCCAGAATAAACAAGACAGACATTCCTGGCACTAAAATAACATTTCCTCTGTTCATTAGTCACATCCCCAGGCCTCTGTTACATTTCTTTTGTTTTCCACTTTGAATTTTTATTCTCACAAAAAATAGAAGATTTACTGTTATGCAGACTACTGCATTAGTGTAGAAATGGTCTAAATAATATCAGCAGACTTGTAAAAGAATATTAGACTCACCAATTGACGTGTATTGGACGCGTGGGTTGATTGATTTGATTTTGAACTCTGGCAAAAATCGAACATTTCTGCTACTTTGAGCTCAATTTCAAGGTACTTTTCATTGTGAAACCAATAAAAATCATCTCAATTTCCATAATATGTCTTCCATTCTATAAAATGAGACTAGGAAAACTAGAATACAACCATAAATAACATACGAAAATACACTGCAAAGTCGCTGTTTTAAACCAAAAACACGGTCGGAGTTTTTTTTTTTCTCATGCACTGTGTGCTGCAGGAGTTTTTTATACTGCACACACTGACCACATAGACACATTCTTTCATGTGTAGTCCTACCAGCTTTCTCTCGGTAGATTTGAAGGCGCTAGAATTTGAGTACTAGTTCGGCACCAACCCTGGCGTGCAAGCCGTAATAGTACGGCACCAACCCTGAAAGGGTTAATTGCATCCCCAGGCCTCTCCTATATTGCACTTGCCCTCCATTTTGAATCCATCATCATGCAAGAAATCAAAGTTTTATCCTATTTCTCGGATAATAAAATATAACCAGAAATGTTTGGTCATGGTTTAGGGGGTCCCATTGATTGAAATGGACTCATAAAAACCTATAAAACAAACTGGGGGGGGATGTGCCTTACCCTTTCTCTGGAAAAATTGTAAAAGATCAGATATTTCCGTGACTTTGAGCTCTGTTTCAGGTTACTTCTGGTCCTGAAACCAACCAGAATCATCCTATTTCAGTAGTGTGTCTTTCATTCTGTTAATTCATACCAAGAAGCCAATAAAATCATAAAAACCATCCTAGGAAATACCTCACAGTAGCTATTGTAAAGCAAACACAAGGTCAGTGGTTTGCTTTTCTCATCATGCGGTGCATGGAGCAGGATTGTTTTATACTGTACACACTTGCTGCACTGAACCATTCTCTCGTGTCTAGGCCAAAATTTACCTCTCACAGGATATTTGAGGGTGCTGTGCTTAAAACATAGATATATGTAAGAGAGAGTGAAAGGGTTAAGGGTTAGAGAGGTGAGGATATTTAGGACAGATCAAAAATAAAAGTTGTTTGATGAACAGTTGATTGTGAAGATGAATGAAACTCTCTACATTATGTAACTTTCCTTTAGATATTTGTTGGCAAGCATGGACAGTGAGAACTTGCAGCTGAGTTATGTTTCCTGTGGCATGAATAAAGACCTTACTCTACATTGGATTCAGCATATGAAAGATGTGAGTATATGATAATCAGTATTAATCATATTGTATTTTAGTGATTTCTCTGTTATTTACACATTTTTGACACAGATTCTTATTAGTATATAATGTTATGTACTGAGCCTTCCTTTTTTAGCCAACTGAGAATTATTTTTTGATAACCTTTAGGAAAATATACAGGTTCTTGGAGTATGCTCATGTTGAATAATAATAGAAAAAAATATGCTGCTGCTAAACAGTACGGTAGTTTGCTGCAGCTAGGAGAATGAGTTTCCCAACCTTGAGGTTCCTGGCTCTAATGAAAAAAAGCTTACTCCTTGAATGTTTCTTGAAATGCCACACTTTGAGAAGCTTCTTGATTGAGAGAAGATACACTACAATATGCGAGTTTTTCTTGCATCATTGCCTCCAGTTTCTGCTATTAGCATTTCTAGATTAGTTGGTGACATTGCTAAGAGGATTAAATACCAGTTAGAAAAGCTGTTGAGCCTGGATATCATTCACTTGGTTAGAATAGTAGTGCTTCCTCTACCTTAGGGTTGCTTCTCATTCCTCATAGCTATGGATATAGGGTCATCTAAGCATAATGGTAAGAGGATCCTAGTCATGCACAGTTCAACTCCATTCCAGTCATTTTCCAAAACTACAAAAGCTAACTGTCAATACCTCCACTATATATATATATATATATATATTAAACCTTCTCAGAAGGATGAGGAGGGGTTGTTGAGGTGGGTAAAGAAAACTAAATAAAATATTCTCAGTGAACATAAAAAAATAAAAGGAAGATGACACTCGGTGAGTTTGATCTGGGCAGAACTAGAACCCTGAGGATGGTGCACAGTATGATGACTAGGAGGGTATATAAGTCTGGGGAGGAAGGTAAGAGGGGTAGAGATCATCCAAGGAAAGATTAGTGCTAGTGGCTTGCACATTCAGCAGGCTAGTGTGATCAGAATATAGACAAGTGGTTTGTATGACTTAATGTCCTGTTGGAATGTGAGCAGAGTAACATATAAGAGAGGATTCATGGAACCTGGTTTGCCAGACTTGAGTTCTGGAGATGGGAAATACAATAACTGTCCTCTGAAAGGAGGGGTGTGGATGTTACAGTTTGTAAGGCCATTTGAACTGTAATTTCAGCATGCTTCTGGCAATGGTGAATGTTTTTTAAGTCACTCAGCCTCACTGGGAAATGGCCTTTTTGTTAAAAAATAATACAGTGGTGTCCTTACAATCCAGTGGCAGTACCTTTGGCTCACAACTGAAGGACTTGGGTTCAATTCTGAGTGAGTAGAGATGTACATATCCAAATCTCTCCATACCTGTTATTTTTGTTCACTTAGCAGTATTTTGAATAGGTACTTGGGTGTTAGCTGACTGTTGTGGGTCACATCCTGGCTGCTAATGGTTTACTACACCTTTGGTAGAGTTGGGGTTTAAAATGAGCTGAAGTAAGATAGATTTGTTTTTCTATGTGTCTTTCTAACCACATGTCAGCTACACTATACCTCATCTATACATCAGGATGCAATTAAGTGGGGCTTTTCTGTAATATTTTCATGTAATAGTTATCCTAGTGTGGATTTTTTTACTAAATTGAATACCATGTCATTATGGTTAGTTTTTGAGAAAACACAAGTTTCATTATCAACAAGTGTGTGCCATATTTGAGATGGCAGGATCAGTAGGTAGATTTTGAAATAAAGATGGAATAGGAGAGGGCTTAGAATGCTCCCTTATGAGGAATATAGGTTTATTAGTAGAGTAAATGAAATCATTTATAGTTATAGATGTCTTCTGCTGAGGTAAGATCGGATAGCATTTTAAGTGACTCCTGACTCCATGGTGTGTTAGTTTGAGGAGTTTCTGTGGTCATGTCTGAAGTTTTCCATAAATCTATAAATAGTTCAGTTGGATATACAGTACCGTAGTCCTGAGTAGATTATATGTGGTACATTAATATATTTTTATGTGCACATTTACTTGCATTTGTACTTTATGCAGCTGGTGTCTGACAGGTTCTCTTCATTGCCTGCAAAGTATTGGAAAGTTTGCAAGCAGAAGTATCATCAGAGAACCGGCTGATATCCCTATACCTGCACCTCCTCCTTGCGTTTACTGCAACTAACACTTGGAAGATTGTGCGCATGAAGAATTTTGAACCACTTAGGCCAGCACTTAATAAGCTAACAGAAAACATCATGGGAGATTTAGTGTGCAGGGGCTTGTACACTACTTTGAATGTGAGTATTTAGCTATTACAGTGTAATGATACAGTGTTTGAGAAATTTTGGAAATAGGCAGTACAGTGCCTGCACTTTAAATGAGGGGTCTGGGATATTGACAGTTTGGAGGGACTTCTAAACTATCGTATCTGAGCACCTCTGCAAAGACAGTGATTGTGAAAGTGTTGAATGATGAATGTATTTTCATTTTGGGGATTTTCTTTCTTTTTGGGTCACCCTGCCTCGTTGGGAAATGGCCAACTTGTTGGAAAAAAAAAATTAATATTTTACGAGAATAGTGGTACTCTGTGGAGCTTTAAAATGAAGGTTATTTCAGTCATATGAAACACACTAAAGTTCCTGGTATTATGAAAGGACAGGATTGTGGTTTTTAGTTACACAACATTCTGGATAACTTGCTGTACTCTTCTTGCATCCTGTCCTCACATCATGTGTGAAGAAATATTTTTTTTTTTTTTTTTTTTTTTTCAACAAGTCGGCCGTCTCCCACCGAGGCAGGTGTAGATTTTAATTACTGTATATGCATTTTCAGTGAGACCTTGCTGCCAGATGTGTCATTGCTTTTTTTTTCACTTGTGGTTAAGTAAACTTTTATACTTTTGTATAATATTATGTAAACCTACCCTAACATAACCTAATACAATACAAACAATTTAAGTGTTCAGAAATTAGCACCTGGCAATGAATAATAAAATGTTTTAAAAATTAGAATGGGTTGGCACTTTAAACTCCCATCAAAACATTCAAGCTGTTAACTTTATTGATCACCTGGAAATAAGATGACACGTATAATTAAAGCACTGAAGATTTTTTCCAGAGTATATCTACAGTACCACACAGTATACCATTCATATCATAACCTGTAATGAAGAATCACATTTTAATAACTGTAATGATATAAAAAATCTTATAGTATGTTGTGGTTTTGTTTTTTGCAATTTAAGATTTACTATAGCATTACTTTCAAGTTAGTTGTATTATTTCAATTTTCTTCTTCCCCCCCATCCCCTCCCCACGAAAACAAAGAAAAAAATAGAGCTTCACATGTTGCTTCTATAGCCAGGTTAGGAAGTGATTCCTGTCACAGATCTACTGGAAACTCCATACTAAATCTGTAACAGGTAAAGATGAAGAAATGGAAGTGAAAACAAATCATAACTGAACTATGGACCAAGGCTTCACTTACCATATACTCGTGCTAAGGATGAATCCCACAGCATCAACTTTACGTGCAATGCAAGCAACTCAGAATCCTGGTTTTGGCCTGTGCTCATTTTCAAGACACATAGGAGAAGTGGTGGTTCTTGCATACAAGAGAGAAATGTTGAAGAGTCAGCATTAAGAAATGTTCCAGTACAATAACAATTCATTTATAATATGTATATTATGCAGAGAGTAAGGACTGAAACTTATGAAATCCTATGGTTAAATTTTTGCTATAGGTGTTGTGCACCAAACATGAAAACATAATGGGAACCAAAAAAGCATATATGTAATCAAAACTATCCACTAAATGGGCTTCATTGGAAGCTTTGTGTAATATACTGTATTCCAATCATGTGGATTACGTAATGCATAAATTCATGGGTTGGGCTGTATTTCAGTGGGTCACCAATAGATAGTGATGCCTTGGGTATTCAGAAAATGCAGTTAGAGATGAAGTAATGGTAAATGTTTCTTCTTCAGGTAACCCTAAATTAGTAGTAAGCTGTAGATAAGTTAATTAAAATGGTGTATACACGTTACTACTGTATGACAAAAAATTCACAAGGATGTTGCAATCACTGTACAGGCAGGAACGCCCCCATGGTTTTACAAAGGGGCGTTCCTGCCTTACGAATTTATTAACTTTTTTCACTAAGGTATTTGAGGAGGTAGATCATGGTAATGAATATGATATTGTGTATATGGACTTCAGTAAGGCTTTTGACAGGGTCCCACATCAGAGACTATTGAGGAAAATTAAAGCACATGGAATAGGTGGAGAAATTTTTTCCTGGATAGAGGCATGGTTGACAAATAGGCAGCAGAGAGTTTGCATAAATGGGGAGAAATCAGAGTGGGGAAGCGTCACGAGCGGTGTTCCACAGGGGTCAGTGTTGGGCCCCCTGCTGTTCACAATCTACATAAACGACATAGATGAGGGCATAAAGAGCGACATCGGCAAGTTTGCCGATGACACCAAAATAGGCCGTCGAATTCATTCTGACGAGGACATTCGAGCACTCCAGGAAGATTTGAATAGACTGATGCAGTGGTCGGAGAAGTGGCAGATGCAGTTTAATATAGACAAATGCAAAGTTCTAAATGTTGGACAGGACAATAACCATGCCACATATAAACTAAATAATGTAGATCTTAATATTACGGATTGCGAAAAAGATTTAGGAGTTCTGGTTAGCAGTAATCTGAAACCAAGACAACAGTGCATAAGTGTTCGCAATAAAGCTAATAGAATCCTTGGCTTCATATCAAGAAGCATAAATAATAGGAGTCCTCAGGTTGTTCTTCAACTCTATACATCCTTGGTTAGGCCTCATTTAGATTATGCTGCACAGTTTTGGTCACCGTATTACAGAATGGATGTAAATTCTCTGGAAAATGTACAAAGGAGGATGACAAAGATGATCCCATGTATCAGAAACCTTCCCTATGAGGATAGACTAAGGGCCCTGAAACTGCACTCTCTAGAAAGACGTAGAATTAGGGGGGATATGATTGAGGTGTATAAGTGGAAGACAGGAATAAATAAAGGGGATGTAAATAGTGTGCTGAAAATATCTAGCCTAGACAGGACTCGCAGCAATGGTTTTAAGTTGGAAAAATTCAGATTCAGGAAGGATATAGGAAAGTACTGGTTTGGTAATAGAGTTGTGGATGAGTGGAACAAACTCCCAAGTACCGTTATAGAGGCCAGAACGTTGTGTAGCTTTAAAAATAGGTTGGATAAATACATGAGTAGATGTGGGTGGGTGTGAGTTAGACCTGATAGCTTGTGCTAACAGGTCGGTTGCCGTGTTCCTCCCTTAAGTCAATGTGACCTGACCTGACTAGGTTGGGTGCATTGGCTTAAGCCGGTAGGAGACTTGGACCTGCCTCGCATGGGCCAGTAGGCCTGTTGCAGTGTTCCTTCGTTCTTATGTTCTTATGTTCTTCTTATATAATATTATATTTTTTTAGTAAATTATTGCCATACATATAAACACATAATTTATTGTGATTTGATCGAAAGCATGTGTTGGTGCGAGGGTTGTGTCGAGGGAAGGCGGCACTGCGAGGTCCAGCTGTCACAACAATTACAACACTGGCACTGCGTCCTCTCGTGGCAGCTCAGTATTCGGACAAGCTTCTCTCACTGATCACCATCCACATCCTCAGTGTTCCTGCACTTATTCATCATCTGGTTACTTTAGCTCCTGAGGTATGTTCATAAAGTTTTTTTTATCTAGGTGTATACTTTATATTATTGTCATTGCGTAAGAAAAAGTAGCATACATGTATATGCATATTGAAATTGTTCACTACAAATTTACTCTTGGGAAGCAATACAGTGTATGTGACAGTGATTTAAAAATTCTGAGATAATCCCTGGTCCAGATTATTGTCAAGAAAATTCTTTTTGTTAATCCTGTTTATATAAAATCAGGTGTATGTGGGTACAGTATTATCTGACATGAGAAGATATATTTGCTGTATATTATGAGCTAAAAGTTGTGCTAATTTATGTGCAGAATTTAAAGATTTATTCAGTGAAATGTGTCAAAGATTTAATTAAGCACCATTTTTTTTTCAGTTCTTCATACTTCTTTTTTATATGTTTTAAAAATAAAATTTTTGATTCTGATATCAAACAATTAATTCTGTAACCCTGAGTAATGAGTCACTGAAAGTAATGATGTAGGGGCTGGAACTTTACTTACCTGTATTCTGTAAGCTTTAACAAGTTTTGCCAGTTCATGCTCCTTTTAAAACACTAATTCATCTTCCTTATTTTTAGCATTTTTTTTTTCAGTGTTCTGTTTATCAAACTTTTTAACTCTATACAGTATTCTTTATTATCCCAGAAATTCAAAAATAATCCACAAACTTACTTGTTTTTACTAATGATAATTTTTTTATCAGGCATTACAAATGTTTCATGCCAATGAGCTATTTGAGAGAGTTGTGGAATTTGTACAGACGGAACAAAATTTGCGTATTGTCTTTAATACTCTGGAAGGTTCGTACTCTCTGTGTCTTCTAGCAAACCTCGTTCATCTGGCATATGAAGAAAAAGATAGAGCTCTTCCAAGGCTGGCATTTCCCAAGTTTAATGTAAGTACAGTGTAAGTTCATCTTCATTATGTATTTTCAGTTTGAAAAGTGTTAAACTAGTGAAAATCACTTTGCTTGGTAGCTTAGATGCTGTACATTATACTACTCAGTATATTGTACAACATAGACACTGCAATAAACTTTGCTACCCAGGATAAATTCAGCATTTGGAATACAGTTGACCCTTGAACAACATGGGTTTGAACTGTGTGGGTCCACTTATACGGCCGACTTGTTGAAAAGAAAAAAATATTGGAAATTTTTTTGGTTTACGACAATTTGAAAAAACTCGCAGACAAACCACATAGCCTAGAAATATTTCTTCTTTCAATGCACTGATCATATCCCACTGAGATGGGGTGGCCCAAAAGGAAAAACAAAAGCTTCTCTTAAATTTAGTAATATATACAGGAGAATGGGTTACTAGCCCCTTGCTCCCGGCATTTTAGTTGCCTCTTATGACATGCATGGCTTACGGAGGAAGAATTCTGTTCTACTTTCCCATGGAGATAGCCTAGAAATATTGGAAGAAATTAAGAAAAAGTTAGGTATGTCATAAATGTATAAAATGTGTAAATACTAGTCTATTTTATAATTTACTACAATAAAATACAGCCTCTCTTCACTTAACAATGGAGTTGCATTCCTATGACCACGTTGGTAAATGAATTCGTCGCTAAGTGAGGAGCATACTATAATGGTAGTGGGTTTGTGTCAACCATCTTTGATATTCTTTTAATGTCACCTTTGCACCATTTATAACATTTCTGGTATATTTTTAAATGTTTATACAGTAGTGTACTGTATATTGTAATAAAAGGAATAGAGGAAATCAGCTCTAATACACATTATTTAGGTATGCATACTGGTCAGAGAGCCCGTTGTAAATCTGAGTTGTCAGCAAACAAGTATGTTGTTAAGTGAGGAGAGGCTGTGTAAACAAATCTCTTATAAAAAGTTAAAATTGATCAAAACCTACACACACAAACACTTGCAGATTATACATGGCACCATTTGCAGTCGAGAGAAATGTAAGCAAATGTAATGATGCAATATTAAATCTCAACTGCATAAAATTAACTGTAGTACATACTGTATTACTGTTATCTTTTCATTTTTGATGTCTGATGTTCGTAATATGTATAACATCTACAGTGTTTTGTGTCATACAAGACAATATTGATGTAGATACTGACAGACACAATTCATCTCATAAACAGATGATGTAAACTTTTAGTATTGATAAATACAGTACAGTGCTGCAATAATAACATTTTCTTTTCTCTATCTTATTTTATTGTAAGAATACAGTATATAATACATATAACATACAAAATTGTAGGTAGTAGGTTGGTAGACAGCAACCACCCAGGGAGGTACTACCGTCCTGCCAAGCGAGTGTAAAACGAAAGCCTGTAATTGTTTTACATGATGGTAGGATTACTGGTGTCCTTTTTCCTGTCTCATAAACATGCAAGATTACAGGTACGTCTTGCTACCTCTACTTACAATTAGGTCACACTACACATACGTGTACAAGCATATATATACACACCCCTCTGGGTTTTCTGCTATTTTCTTTCTAGTTCTTGTTCTTGATTATTTCCTCTTATCTCCATGGGGAAGTGGAACAGAATTCTTCCCCTGTAAGCCATGCGTCTTGTAAGAAGCGACTAAAATGCCAGGAGCAAGGGGCTATATTACTGTATATATTACTAAATGTAAAAGGAGAAACTTTCGTTTCTCCTTTTGGGCCACCCCGCCTCGGTGGGATACGGCCAGTGTGTTGAAAGAAAGAAAAAAACATACAAAATATATGTTAATCAAGTGTTTGTTATCGATAAGGCTTCTGGTCACCAGTATAGGTTATTAGTAGTAAAGTTTTTGAAGGGTCAAAAGTTATACGTGAATTTTCAACTGTGTGGGGGGTCAGTGCCCCTAACCCCTACGTTGTTTAAGGGTCAGCTGTATATAGGTACATGTATTCAGTATGCTGATGAATAGCTCAAGAATATTAATTTCTCTCATACTCATAATTTTTTCACATGCAGAACTTAAGTTTTAAAATTAGAATGGTCTCTACAATTTGTTTTCTGAAGAAGGGAAAATTTTGAAAGAAGATTGCTTAGCTAGCCTGTTAAGACTACAGTCAAACCTTGTATTGTGTGGTAGTTATGTTCTTGGAAACATGTATGGTACAATATAAATATTCCTTGCTGTAAAAAAAGTAAAGAATATACAGTACCATACAAAAGAAGTACAGTGGAACCTCAGTATTCATCATTAATTCGTTCCAGAAAGTCTGACGAAAGCCGAATTCAATGAAAACTGAAGCAATGTTTCCCATAAGAAATAATGTAAATCCACTTAATTCATTCCAGACACCCAAAAGTATTAACAAAAAATGCATTTTATAAAGAATAACTAGTTTTACATACAGAAAACAATGAGAAATAATTTTTTTTTTTTTTTTTTTTTTCAACAAGTCGGCCGTCTCCCACCGAGGCAGGGTGACCCAAAAAAGAAAGAAAATCCCCAAAAAGAAAATACTTTCATCATCATTCAACACTTTCACCACACTCACACATTATCACTGTTTTTGCAGAGGTGCTCAGAATACAACAGTTTAGAAGCATATACATATAAAGATACACAACATATCCCTCCAAACTGCCAATATCCCAAACCCCTCCTTTAAAGTGCAGGCATTGTACTTCCCATTTCCAGGACTCAAGTCCGACTATATGAAAATAACCGGTTTCCCTGAATCCCTTCACTAAATATTACCCTGCTCACACTCCAACAGATCGTCAGGCCCCAAGTATCATTCGTCTCCATTCACTCCTATCTAACACGCTCATGCACGCTTGCTGGAAGTCCAAGCCCCTCGCCCACAAAACCTCCTTTACCCCCTCTTTCCAACCCTTTCGAGGACGACCCCTACCCCTCCTTCCTTCCCCTATAGATTTATATGCTTTCCATGTCATTCTACTTTGATCCATTTTCTCTAAATGACCAAACCACCTCAACAACCCCTCTTCTGCCCTCTGACTAATGCTTTTATTAACTCCACACCTTCTCCTAATTTCCACACTCCGAATTTTCTGCATAATATTTACACCACACATTGCTCTTAGACAGGACATCTCCACTGCCTCCAACCGTCTCCTCGCTGCTGCATTTACCACCCAAGCTTCACATCCATATAAGAGTGTTGGTACTACTATACTTTCATACATTCCCTTATTTGCCTCCATAGATAACGTTTTTTGACTCCACATATACCTCAACGCACCACTCACCTTTTTTCCCTCATCAATTCTATGATTAACCTCATCCTTCATAAATCCATCCACCGACACGTCACCTCCCAAGTATCTGAAAACATTCACTTCTTCCATACTCCTCCTCCCCAATTTGATATCCAATTTTTCTTTATCTAAATCATTTGAAACCCTCATCACCTTACTCTTTTCTATGTTCACTTTCAACTTTCTACCTTTACACACATTGTCAAACTCATCCACTAACCTTTGCAATTTTTCTTTAGAATCTCCCATAAGCACAGTATCATCAGCAAAAAGTAACTGTGTCAATTCCCATTTTGAATTTGATTCCCCATAATTTAACCCCACCCCTCTCCCGAACACCCTAGCATTTACTTCTTTTACAACCCCATCTATAAATATATTAAACAACCATGGTGACATTACACATCCCTGTCTAAGACCTACTTTTACCGGGAAGTAGTCTCCCTCTCTTCTACACACCCTAACCTGAGCCTCACTATCCTCATAAAAACTCTTTACAGCATTTAGTAACTTACCACCTGTTCCATATACTTTCAACATTGCCACATTGCTCCCCTATCCACTCTACCATATGCCTTTTCTAAATCCATAAATGCAATAAAAACTTCCCTACCTTTATCTAAATACTGTTCACATATATGCTTCAATGTAAACACTTGATCTACACATCCCCTACCCACTCTGAAACCTCCTTGCTCATCCGCATCCTACATTCTGTCTTACCTCTAATTCTTTCAATTTTAGCACTTTTCCTGGTATACTCAGTAAACTTATTCCTCTATAATTTTTACAATCTCTTTTGTCCCCCTTCCCTTTATATAAAGGGACTATACATGCTCTCTGCCAATCCCTAGGTACCTTCCCCTCTTTCATACATTTATTAAACAAAAATACCAACCACTCTAAATAGCTCTTGTTCCTCTTTATTTCTTCTATTGTCCATGGGGAAGTGGAAAAGAATCTTTCCTCCGTAAGCCATGCGTGTCGTATGAGGCGACTAAAATGCCGGGAGCAATGGGCTAGTAACCCCTTCTCCTGTAGACATTTACTAAAAAAGAGAAGAAGAAAAACTTTATAAAACTGGGATGCTTAAATGTGCGTGGATGTAGTGCGGATGACAAGAAACAGATGATTGCTGATGTTATGAATGAAAAGAAGTTGGATGTCCTGGCCCTAAGCGAAACAAAGCTGAAGGGGGTAAGGGAGTTTCGGTGGGGGGAAATAAATGGGATTAAATCTGGAGTATCTGAGAGAGTTAGAGCAAAGGAAGGGGTAGCAGTAATGTTGAATGATCAGTATGAAGGAGAAAAGAGAATATGAATGTGTAAATTCAAGAATTATGTGGATTAAAGTAAAGGTTGGATGCGAGAAGTGGGTCATAATAAGCGTGTATGCACCTGGAGAAGAGAGGAATGCAGAGGAGAGAGAGAGGTTTTGGGAGATGTTAAGTGAATGTATAGGAGCCTTTGAACCAAGTGAGAGAGTAATTGTGGTAGGGGACCTGAATGCTAAAGTAGGAGAAACTTTTAGAGAGGGTGTGGTAGGTAAGTTTGGGGTGCCAGGTGTAAATGATAATGGGATCCCTTTGATTGAACTTTGTATAGAAAGGGGCTTAGTTATAGGTAATACATATTTTAAGAAAAAGAGGATAAATAAGTATACAAGATATGATGTAGGGCGAAATGACAG